TCTCAGAGGCACCTAGAACCAAGCTCTATTCTTCCATGAGCCTTAACTGTAGGAAATGATTCCAAAATAACCTGAGATGTAGTGTCTGCTCCTCCATCATTCCTGATGTAGCTGAGCTTAGTCTGCTTGCGATCTTGTGCCGGTGCTCTCAGTGTCCCTAAGTACAGTCTTCCATCTCCTCTCCTGTGCTCCAGCCACAACAGCCTTCAGCCTTCACCAGAACCCCAGCTACCCCAGGGCATCTGCGTTGAACCACCTGCTAAATGTCACTTCCTCAGCAAGGCTCCCAACTGCTCTCACATCGCCAAAGCACTGCCCACATTTCTGACTGTGGCCACCATAGCAATGCCATTTCCCTCCTGCAAGTGCCCTAGGGACGGGGCCAGCCCCTCTGTGCCACTGTAGTTCACCGGGATGCTCTTTGGTTATGGAGTCACAGGCTAAGTAGGACAGTCACTTATTCAATTAATATTGTGGACCAGGCCTATGTTAAGTGCTGTAGAGATTAGTTCTGGCTCCTCCCCCTTTCCCTTTTTAGGTATCGTTCTTTCATTGATGCAGCCCAAGACAATAGTTTTTTACAAAGCTTTATTTATTGCTCACCTAACGAGTCTGCCCAGAGTCCCTGTAGGCTCTCTTCCACGCTGTCCTGTATTTGGGGGGGATGGAGCTGCCCTCCCTGAGCAGCACGAGTTATGGCAGAGGGAAGAGACACGCACACACCGCTCTCCAAGGTTCTGCCCAGAAATTACACATGTAACTTAGTTTTAAAAATTGAAGCATATTGGATCTATTCTGTGGTATTTCTCCAGCCCGAGTGAGCAGTGGCATACTCTACAACTGGCAGGATCCCCACGTTCGCACTGTGGGGATCCCTACCCACTGGATGAGGCTACTATGGTTGGAAGAATGTGTGCAAGTCTCTGGAACATCACCTCCCTGAAAAGGTAAGCTGGCAGCAGCCCTACATTCCTGGAGGGGCGGGATTTCAAAGATCAATGCCCCCGTCAGACCTAAAAGCAGCAGTGATAATACCCATCACATTCCCAGTTAACTCGCTTGTTTGGTCCAAGCACAAGCCTGATGGACCTTAGAAAATGTCTGTAGACATTGACATACTGAGGAGACATTGCAGGCTGCTCCAGACCACTGCTGTAAAGCAAATGTCGCAATAAAGTCGGTTGAAATCTTTTTTGCTAGTGGAGGCTCTTGCCTGCAATTTGTAAAAAAAAAAAAAAAAAAAAAAAAAA